TTACTTACAAAGTTTGTGTACATTGTGTTTCACACTAGATATTTCCCATTTCCTTTACATACTCTTCCCTCCACTCATCAAATTATGTGAGCCTATGATTACCCCCCTCCCTAGGGTTCCCCCATCCATTTTCACCCCTCTTCTCCCACCATCCCAGGCTTGTACTCTCATACACATTTTACTAGTTATCTATTTCTACAGTAATGATCTTATACTGTATTTGTCCTTATGGGACTGAGTTAGTTTACAAAGCGTAAAGCTCTCCAGTCCCTACCAAGTTAGGTAGTGATTTACAAAATCATTGCTCTGCCGTGTTGTGTAGTATTCCATTGCATGAATGTACCATAATTTCTCAATCCATTAGATTGTGATTGAACATCTGTTTCCATGTTTTTGTGATGGTGATCAACGCTGCTATGAATATTAGTGTACAAATCTCTGTATGTGCCTCAGTTCTCTTTTTCTCATGCTATATTCCAAGCACTGGAATAGCTGAGTCATATGGAACTTTTGTGTTCAGCTTTTTGAGGAGACACTAAACTGTCTTCCAGGGTGGTTGTAACATTTTACAATCCAACCAACAGTATGTATAAGTTCTTATCTCTTCATATCCTCTCCAACATTTATTACTTGTTTTCCATCTTCTTTTGATACTTTCTGCACCATTCAATAATTTGGTGGTAGAATCCTTCAGTAATGCAACTTGAAACTTGAATGTGTTTCTTAGATATTTCAGTTTGAGAAATACTAAGCATGTTCTTTTTTGGTTTCTAATTTCAAGATTTTAAAACATTGTATGATAAGACTTTGCCTTGTCTTCTTAAGCTGTTCTTTGAAATCTTCTGTTCAACTCTTTCATTTCATCTTTTCTTCACTGTATGCTTTTCTATGCTGACAAGCAAATGTCAGGCTCTCTCCTAGCATCCGTTTTGGTGGGTTTTTTTTCCTTTCTTAAGAAAGCAGTACCACACATTTCTTTTTTTTTAGTTGCCAATGGTTTTTATCCTAAGTTAAACAAATATCAACTATGTGAATGTTTCTCAAGATCTAATGAAGATTTAGTTTCAACTTTTCTTTATAATAATTCAGTGACTGGAGTAATGAGGGTAAGTGTGTCAGAAACAATAAAGTTGGCACAGGATAGAGCATGATTTAGACCTGTTGTACATAGGGTCTCAAGAGACTCGATGGCATATAACAACAACAACAGTGATTTTTTTTTTTCTATCTAGAGTTGTTTGTTGATTGCTATTGTCTTAAAAGTGTACAGTATATCTGAAGGATGTAAGAAGCAAGAGAATGACATGTGTTGGGTCAGGGGTCCCAGGGCAGATAGAACCTAGGTGACATAAAAAGGGACTCTTTAAAGATCTGTATTGGGGTTTTGGCAAACACCATTTTAACATCAATGATGTTACAATGATTTTAGTATTCAATGATGAGGGGGAGATGTCCATGTTCATCACTACATCTTTGCCCAGCTTGAGCAAGGTTTTAATGCTCTCTGACAGTCTCAAGTATCCACACAGCTCAGCACATCCTCTGGCATCATACTTTTTACACTCTCCATTTTGGACTCTTGGTACAGTGATTCTTTGTACTTCTCCCATCTTCTTTTGATGATTCCTGGATCATTCAAGATATTTCCCACAGTATCTCTCAGTATGGCAACTCGAGGTTTGAAATTGTTCTATTTTTTTAATGCTAGTGAGTTCTTCCCTTTTAATTATTAATTCCAGCTCTTGGCACATTACTTTATAATACTTTGCTTTGTCTTCTCCAGATGTCCTTGGAAATCTTTTGCTCATATCTTTTTCTTTACCATTTCAGCCCTTTGTTTTGGCTTCTCAATACTCTAGTGCAATTTTCTTACTCTCTCCTAATACCCATTTTCATCTTTTTTTCCCCTCTTTAGTCTTTGTGAAGACCTTTTGCTGTCTTCATAGAGTATAATGTGTTGTTGTTGTTAAGTGTCGTCAAGTCGTAGGCTGCTCATAGCGACCCTATGAATGAAAGTCCTCAACACTTGCGTGCTGTGACTTTCATCCTTTCTCCAGGTTCATAGGGTTTCCAGAGGCAAGCTATTTACGGAAATAGATGCCACTCCTGCTTCCAAGCAAATGATAAATAGGCAAAGCTCTTCTTAATAAAGAAGTCACCAAATAGTTTGTAGATAAATGGTTTATTTTTGTTTTAATTTAAAATACATTTTTTTATTTTATATTGATTTATTTAGAAAGTTTGTGCACATTAATTTTCACACTGGATCATTCCCATTTCCTTTACTACTCCTTCCACTCATCAAATTGTGTGACCCTATGCCTATGATAGACACACACCGCTGCCCTGCCCACCCTCACCCCTCTTCTCCCCACCTTGGATCCTCATACATGTTTTACCATAATGGTCTTATACTATATTTGTCCTTTTGAGACTGAATCAGTTCACTTAACATGATGTAGCTAAATGTTTTGACTATGATTTTTATTTTTATAGAAGCTAAGAATTCTAAAGCTTCGTCTGACAAACTTGGGCATGTTGTAAGGAGTGACCTTGGAGACGACGTCATGCTTAGGAGAGTGGAGGGACAGCACAAGAGAGGAAGACCCTCAATGAGGTGGATTGATTCAGTGACTGGGTAATAGGGGTAGGTGTGTCAGAGACAATAGGTTGGCACAGGACAGAGCAGCATTCAGCACTGTTGTACAAAGGGTTGCTATGAATGGCAAATGACCTGGTGGAACATAACAACAACAACAACAATAATTACAGACTTACTGATATTTTGACAGTCTTTATACTCTCAGAATGTATTACATTGGTTATTACAATATCAGATATTACATTGTTTTATTTCCTTTTTCCCACTTGCATTGTTTATGTTAATTTAGAATGTGATAAAAATCTAAAATCCCAAACATTCACAATCTCTCATTTGCTTTATGAGGTTTTTCTTTCAATGGAGAGGGTTTCTTTAAATAGAGGTTTTTCTTTAACGGTCTTGGTTTCATTATTAATAAAGTAATTTGAAGATGAAGTGTTTTAGCTCCTCAACTCAAATAATATTCTTTGTTTTATCATTGTTATGGTTAAAGATGTCTCTTTGTATCTTCGCTACCTTAGCGTACCAATTTCTCGAACATAAAAAACTTAAGAGCAATAGTGACATTTGGAGATCCATATGTAATTCAAGTCAAACTCAGCTTGGATGTTTTAATAGCTCCCATTGCAATCTGATTTTTTGTTTATATTCCCTGAGCAGCAGCTAGTCGTTTCATGCCATGTAATTCATTGAATCAATTCATCATTAATGCAGACTCATAAATACAAAGATCCCCAAAACTGTGTTTACTTCCTCCCCAAATCAGTCATAAAGTAGATCTAAGGTTACTCTAGAGAAGTTACCACTACTTTCAAAGATTGAGTATTGAATGACAAATATGTATTTGGAAAGGACCATAAAGCTATTCAAATCAACTCAGTTTAATGATAAAGATTCTAAAGGCACAGCTGATTCATTAAAGGACCCAATATCACACACCTGCCCAGATATGAAGCCATATTTTCTGAATCACAGATGTTGACTGTTTTTGTTACCCCCTTCTAAGTTAGAGCTATGGCGGTGGAAACATCTTTTTAATATCAGGTATGTGGATGTGTATAATCAAAAATCAAATAATATAACTGTTTCTGAGATGGATAAAATTATGACAAAATGGAGACAGTTAAAGGAAAACTAACTTAACAAAAAGTTAGTGAATAGTGTTAACTACTTGTGTAAAATGGATTTAGCCTCAGAACAATTTATTAAGGATGTATATATAATTATAGTAGAATCATGAGATAGAAAAATATTTGTCATGGATTTTAGATATACATAATTCCATTTAACTTTTAGTGCACTTCATTAGATCTTTCCCATATCAGTGACCAAATTTCTTCAGTCTTGTAGAAACTGTTGAGATGAGTTTTGTTACATAACTACTCCTACATTTAAAATTAATACCCTCTTCAGACTCTGTATATTCAAACATATCTCAAAGTTCTGTATAAACATTTCTGTATGTTTAATGTATCTGTATAAACATATTTCAAAGTTCCTCTTGAACATTATATTTTAAATTCCTTTGGAGAAAATCTCTAAAACCCAGCAGTCTAAAAATACACAATTATAAGCAGGATAGTATTTAACAGAACTTATGTATTTAAAATATATATGAAAATGTGTGACATGTCTAAGATTAACAGGTTCATTAGCTCTTTAGAAATGTATAACTTTGGTGGTTGAGCACAGGGGTAATTTAGAACATCTGCCTGATTATGAAATGAAGAACTAAGAATGGGAGGCTATTTTCTATTTAAAATTTGAAGCAGAGTGTCTTCCTCTATAGCCATCTCCTTCTGTTCCTTTTTCTTACTCACTTCAAGAAATCACTGCCTTGATTTCTTTTCACAATTATATTCCCACTAATAATCATACATACTTCTCCACCATACCTCCTTCTGGTCGTATGTGATCATTATGATATACTTTTCTCTTTAAAAAAACTGTATAATGACTTTTTATTCCTCCCATCTATTTGTATTTAAATAAAATTTTTATTTCACACTGGTTTAAAAAAAACCCCTTTTATCTGATAGCCAAAAAATTTTAAGATATTCTACAAATTGAGTAAGCCTTCCAATAGTTTAATATCTGTTCTTTTTGTTAATATTTGTATTTTGCTTATAAGACAAATTGCTAAGTCATAGAAATTACTCTTGAATTTAGTCATCTGCAGTATTTGAAAAGGCTATAGGTGAGATAAGTAGTACTGTAAGTACTACACTGTAAGTAGTACGGGAATAAAATCTGGAACTCTCTGGTTCCATATTTAGTATCACCAAAAACATTCTGTGCAGAAATATGACTGAATGTTGTTAAAGTATTGTGTTGTTTTTGTTTTTTGCAGTTTTCTTCCCTTCTGAAAACTCCAGTGTTTCTCCAGAAATCAAAACTAATGGCTTGGAACAATCAGTCATTTGTGACTGAATTTATACTGATGGGTCTTTCTAGTTCTTGGGAACTTCAGATCTTCTATTTCCTGTTTTTCTCCGTAGTCTACACAGCCACTGTCCTGGGAAACCTCTTTATTGTACTCACTGTAATATTGGAGCCACGCCTTCACTCTCCCATGTACTTCCTGCTGGGTAACCTGTCCTTCATTGACATGTCTCTGGCCTCCTTTGCCACTCCCAAAATGATTGCAGACTTCCTCAGTGAGTACAAAGCCATTTCTTTTGAAGGCTGCATCACTCAGATATTCTTTCTGCACCTCTTAGGAGGTGCTGAGATTGTCTTGCTGATCTCCATGTCCTTTGATAGGTACGTTGCTATATGTAAACCTCTACGTTACTTAATCATAATGAATCGAAAAATGTGTATTGGGCTTGTGGTCCTTTCTTGGATTGTCGGCATCTTCCATGCTATGAGTCAGTTAGCCTTTACTGTGAACCTGCCCTTCTGTGGATCCAATCAAGTGGACAGTTTCTTCTGTGATCTCCCCTTGGTAATTAAACTAGCCTGTGTTGACACCTACATTCTGGGGGTGTTTATGATCTCAACTAGCGGCATGATTGCCCTGGTGTGCTTCATCCTCCTGGTTATCTCCTACACCATCATCCTGGTCACTGTCCGGCAACGCTCCTCGGGAGGGTCCTCCAAAGCCCTGTCCACTTGCAGTGCGCACTTCACTGTGGTGACGCTTTTCTTTGGCCCTTGCATTTTCATCTATGTGTGGCCTTTCACCAATTTCCCGATAGACAAAGTGCTCTCAGTCTTTTATACAATTTTCACTCCTCTCTTGAATCCTGTGATCTATACACTTAGAAATAAAGATGTCAAAGAGTCCATGAAGAAACTGAGTAGCCATATCTTTAAGTCAAGCAAGACTGAACATAACCCATAATTTCTTTAAGGCAAAGAGAAAATATTTGTTCATCATTCGCCCTCTTTGTTAGTTGGCCTGCATAATTTTCTGTTTTAGGAACTTAGTCATGTCGTGGCTATTTCTGTAACCAATTTAAACTCTCATTAAATTCCGTTCGTATGTAATCAATCCTCACTTAGCACTTAATGCAGAGCATTTATTAAACCCATGCTTAGTATTTTAGTTCACAGTTTGCTACATGCAACTTGTCAGATATAGACATTTCTTTGCATATTCCTCCCTTTGAAACTTTTTTGTGACTTTCTGTTTCATTATATAGCATGTATATGTATACCAGAGTATGAACCTATTAAACGTGCTTTACATGTAGCACTTTGTGACATTATATTGATCATGTTGTTCAGTCATCACGGTCACCCATTTTTATATTTTTTCCATCACTTTTAACAGAAGCTCAGCATCATATATGCAATCACACTCCTTTCTATTTCCTTCCTGACTGCCTCTGGTAACCACCGATAAACTTTGTCTTTCTCTCTATATATGAAATGGATAGAATAAGCAAATGTCTTAAGAAAAACATTTCCTCTCATCTTTTGCTATACTCTCTAAGAAAAGAAAAAAACTATAAACAGACTAGTACCTAGCATCAGAACTAAGTTCAATAACTCACAGTGATGCCAATGAATGAATTTCAAAAGTCAAAAGAAAATTAAAGACTCTCGGTAAGTAAACATACTTGATCTTTATTATTTTTTGTAATCTACTTTTAATAAGAATAAAAATTTAATTCCTTTTCAATCTGAGTATCCCAGAGTATATTGTTATTGTTGTTGTGTATCATAGAATTGGACCTGACTCATAACTGACCCTCCAGTGGGTTTTCAGAGGCAATTAATCACATGGGAGGAGATTGCCTATTACACAATATTAAAAATTCCTGGACAATTACAATGTTCTTGTGACTATATCAAAGATGCAAAAGATGCCAAAATTATATATGGAAAAAGTCCTACTATGTGCCCATTCTACAGAAGAGCAAACTGAACACTCAGGAGTATGGTAACTTTTTCAGTGTTTTTAGTTAGAAGCAGAATTTATTTCATTCTGCTACAAATGTAGAGAGTGATATATTAAAACAAGATCCTGCTGAGGATTATCCAAAAATAACTGAAACAGTACATCAACAGAGAACAGACAGATGTGCAAGCTGGGTTTAGAAGAAGTCATGGCACTAGGGACATTATAGCCAATGTTAGATGGGTATAAGCTGAAAGCAGAGAGTACCTGAGGAATGTCTATCTGTGTTCAAAGACATATTTAACTGTGTGGATCACAAGAAGTTGTGGTCTACCCTGAGAAGAATGAGAATCCCAGAACAGAGCAAGGAAACATAGCATGGTTCAAAATCAAGAAAGGTGACACCTTGTTTTTATCTACATGCACAACAGATCATTCAGGAGAAGACTTTATGGAGAGGAATGTGGCATCAGGTTTAAAGACTCATCAACAACCTATGTTATGCAGATAGCATAATCTTGCTTGCTGAAACTAAAGAGGGTCTGAGGTGTTTGCTGTATAAAATCAAGGACTTCAGTCTTCAATATGAATTGAAGCTCAACATCAAAGAAACAAAGATTGTTACCACTAGGCCAATTGACAGCATCCTGATATATGGAGAATCAATTCAGATTGTTAATAGCTTCGGCTTGCTTGATTCCACAATCAACACTGTTGGCATCAGCAATCAGGAGATCAAAAGACACATTGTTTGGAAAATCTCCCATTAGAGATATTTCCAGAGTGCTAAAGAGCTATGATGTCATTCTAAAGACTAAGGTGCACCTGATCCAAGCCATGATCTTCTCAATTTGCAATGAAGATTTTATGCCTTTGAGTTTTGATGCTAGAAAAAGAGTATTGACTATATGTACTTCCAAGAGAACAAACAGCTTTGTCATAGAGAGAGTAAAACCAAGCTGTTCCTTGGAAGCAAGGATTTTGAAGTTCTGTCTCACATATTTTGGGTATGTTGTCAGGAGGGGCTGTCATAAGTGGAAGGTAGAGGGACAGCACAGGAGAGAAAGATTGTGGATGAGATTCATTGACACAGTGACTGGGGTGATGAGAATAGGCTTGTCAGAGACAATGAGATTGTCTCAGGATAGGGGTTTCAGAGCTTTTAGGGTTGCTTGTGAGTAACAAGTGATTTGCCGACACATAACTACAACAACAAAAATCAATAACGAACCATTTTTCTCAGGCTAAACAGTGATTTATTAAAAGAACTTATTTACCTTCAAAATATTTGAAATAGCTGCTTACTGTAATGTTTAAAAGACAGAAATCTTATAATCAGACTATTTATTTTACAGATGATGAAATTGAAGGCCAGGGAATAAAGTGACTTTCTCGAGGTCATGAAGCTATTTGACAATAGTCTAATCTACAGCATCCCCTCTTCCCTTTGCTCTCTGTTCTCCTCTTTCTCCTCTACTTGACCCGCCAACACCAACATTCCCTCTGCCTTTGGTTTTCTTTAAGACATTTTGGTCATTGTCATCTGAGAGCTACACATATAAAGCAAGTTTAATACATAAGCTGAGCTACTGGATCTGAAGCCATTAATATCTAGCCAGGGGATTCTGGAAACATAGTGCATAAAGAGCGAATGAATAAAAGTTACGTGGTGAAAGAGCTAGACAAACTGGTAACATTATCATTCGTAATTAAATGCATATATGGTTTAGAATGTCATATACTAGGGAGCACTGGTGGCTTAGTGCTAAGGACTTGTGCTTTTAGCACAAAGGCACAAAGTTTAAATCCACCAAGTGCTCCGTGAGAGAAAGATGAACAATCTCCTCCCCTATGACTTACCACCTCTGAAAACCTGCTGGAGGGTCAGCTATAGGTTAGTTTCAGACTGATGGTACATAACAATAACATGGTTTAGTATATTGTATATTGACTCAATAGACTGTATGTCTCTGTATTTAACTGTGGGCCAACTGTAAATTACAACTTTGTTACTTACTTAAAATTATTCAAGAAGTTATGAAACTAAATAGAGTTGAAAAAATGGGCAAATACTTTTCTTGTGATGAAATATAGCCAGTTCAATTTAAACATGTGCTATCTCGTGTTCCCTGGGAAGATCTAATAATGAATTAATGTTAGTGATCAAAGAATAGAGTTCTTTAGATATTTCTATGACAATGAATATTATGTCAGAGGAAGACAAGCAATCTCCTCCTATGCAAACCCACTGGAGAACTAGCTATGGGTCTGTTCCATTGGTACATAACAGAAATGATTATAAAACTGTCTTTCCACTTCTACAGCCCAATTACTAAAATTTGATTTGTTGATTTGAAAAGAATTAATTTTTACCAATAGCATATGGTTGGCTGATTATTGTAAGAAATATAGTATTTTTTTCCTGTTATCAGTTGTATGCTGCATTTTAGTCTCCTCATATACACACCACTAAAATTGTAGGGTGTCATTACATATAGGATATGTTAGAATATAGACTATATCCTAAGCCTCCACTTAGAGGGTCCTCTGCCTCTCTGTTTCATATTCTCTATTAGTAATATGGTATCTGAGTTCACCCTTTACTACTTCTTTTCAAGAACCGTACAAAGAAACAGCTTAACATTGCATGCCAACAGATTAGCATGTCAGTCATTACAATAAATAAGTTCAGGAAATAAACCCAATTTCATAATGCTTTGCCATTATCTCTAAAAGTGATTGGTTTAATTAAAACTGTGCACTGTGATTCTAAAGAATTAATTTCTTTCCTTTTATATTTTACTTTAATTATATTTTGTCTTCTTCATTTATCTCCACTGGACTTAAATGATTTCCTAAATTTATCTCTGAAAAATGCAAGCAGAAATAATGTGCTCTTAGAGAGATATCAAATTGCTTACTATAGTTCAGAACAATTCCATATACACACTATCAATTCCCTATAAAAAATTATTTGTGTCAAATTTGATAAGCTTCAAGCAGGAAACATAAGCACTAAGCCTGGTAGTAAATGCCTCCAGTCCTATGTCTCTTCTAGTAAAAAATTCTCCACTTCATCAAAGAACTGCTTTCCTCTTTTGCTCACACAAGAAAACAATGTCTTCCAATTGATGATATAGACAGGAATTTGTCATGGTTTTTCAGGATATTGACAAAGAATCTGTTTGGCATTCAAGTTTTTCTGTTCAGTTATCCCATTGCCCTGCAGGGGTTTTCCAAAGGGTCAGATCTACCAGTGGCTCCACTCAATGAGACAAAGATAACCTCCAGGTGAAATTTACATCCTTAGAAACTCGATGGAGGGGACTGTGTGTTAGAACCAACTCCTTGGCAGTGAACTTGACCTCAACTTTCACACTTACTTTAAAATCATGTTGCAATATTTGTTTCAAAAATTTCCAATATATTTGCAAATTAGATTTATATAGGTTTTTTTACTAATAAAAAATTTTATTAGGAGCATTCAGAATGTCAACAAAACAGCTGCAACATTTTTTTGGTTTTCCTTTTTTTTGCAATTATAGAGTGGTATTATAGAGAAAGGATGAAAGTCACACAACTGTCGAGGACTTTTCGTTCATAGCCTCGCTATGAGTCACCTACAACTTGAGGGCACTTAACAACAGCAACAAGAGTGGTACTCAGTTAACAGAACAACAATTATTTTGTATAAGCTGCATCAGACAACTGAATATGGAAAAAAATTAATTTGTGCTGTGCACCAACAAGAATCTGCTTTAAGTTTCCATGCCAATTTACAACCCCCATACTGTGTCAGGCAAGGTTAGTGGCTATTGAAAATACCACCAGGATAGGGTTATACAAAGACACATTTGGTCGTGTGTTAACACCAAAACAGGCACTGTACAGTTTAAAAACAAATCTTACACAGCCTAACATGTCAATTTTTTTTTCTTTAAAAGGAATGAGTTGTGTACAGGGGTAAAGGGTAAATGCTTTATGTTGTTGTTGTCAAG